CACTTGGGAGGCAGAGGCAGGTGGATCTTTGTGAGTTCAAGGCCAGCCTGGTCTACATAGTGAGTTCAGGTCAGCTGGGACTACAGGAGACCCTGTCTATAAATAAATAAATAAATAAATAAATAAATAAATAAATAAATAAAATAAACGAGAACAAATGTTAGCAAGGTTATGGGAAAAAGTAACTCTTAGACACTATTAGTGGGAATACAAATTAGTGTAGTCACTCTGGGAATCAGTAAGGAGGTCCTTCAAAAAGAAAAAAATCTAAATATAAAGCAACCACAAGATCCAGCTCTACCATTCCTGTGCATATCTGAAGGTATCAAAGCATGCGAAAGAGACATCTACCCTATACAAATCCATGTTTATCACAGCACAATTCACAATAGTCAAGTGATGGGATTAGCTTAGGGTCCATCAACAGATGAATGACCAAAGAAAATGTGGTACATATACATAATATACTTTTATTATTCAGCCATTTAAAAAAGAACAAATTGTGTAATTCATAGGAAAATAGATGTGACTAAGATAATCACATTAAGCAAAATAAGCTCAGAAAAACAAACTGTAGGAATGACTTACAATGCAGACAGAATCTGGAATAAGGACTTTTACTTGACCTTGTACCAAAAAGCTACTGTCTGTAATGCAAACAAGTTCACAGAGCCATGTGTTCTTGTGACCTGGGCACCTGACCTTGATCCCTATTACACTTGACCCTCCACCCAAGATAGTGAATGAATGTGGGTGTGCTTGAGTTAGTATATCAAAGTTCTTGGAAGCAGTGAGAATTGAGACCTATGCTTGACACTGTATACGAGATATGTTAGGCCTAAGGATGAAAGTCATGATTCTCTGATAAGAGAAGGGTGAACCCAAGCTTACAGTTCCCCAATTCATGCTGCAGAAACAGGCCGTTTCCTGTTATTACATATGGGTGAGGCCTGGCTCTGGAACGTACTCCAGGAAAGATCTCAAGGAACAAACTCTCTGGTTCAGGTCCACTCTTAGCTTTTAAAACTAATGCTAAGAGTTGGGCTAATTATTTATTCAGGTATAACTGAAATGTGGCTCAGTAACACTACAGCAAATATTACCACATGCGTGTGCCTGTAAAGTAGGAGTTGGGAAGAGGAAGGAGCCTAGTGAGAGGGAGGAAGGAGACTAGAAAAGGTGAAAATGGTCAAAGTATATTTGAATGAAAATGTCATGATGAAATCCATCACTTTGTACAATGACTATAGACTAATCAAAATTTTAAACAGCCTGTGTTTGTATGTATATACGTATATATACAAATACACACTCATATACATATATGGAATATGTAAATCTCATTCCAAAGGAATAAAAGATAAACAAAATTGCAAAAACTGAACAACACTAATAAGACAAAAGGCTTACATCAAAATATCTCAAAGAAAGGGTAAAATCCAAGGTGCTGCAGAAATAAAAGTAACACCTAGACCATCCCTACCCAATAGTGAAGATGTGACAAAACTGTTGGGTTTTGTCAAGATCTGATCTCAAGCCTCTATAGAGACAAAGCCCCCAATATCCGGCTGTGCGTGGCAATCCAGAACAAGACCCATTCTTCCCAGTTCCTGGGCAGCCAGGAGCCACCATGTGGTATAAGCTGAGGCCTGTGGAAGGCAACCACACCAGTTACAGCTCAGCCCCACCAAGGGCCTAGGAAGCTGCCATCTAATTTGATATGGTCATCTCCAGTGCTGCCCATTTTTCCTATAAGACCACACATACTAGAGATAGAAAGACAATTCGGGGTTCATAAGACTGTAGAATATAGCCCACTATCCTGGAACTTATAATGAGCGAACTATGTCTTTCCTTCTGTGGTTCAAATGTGTTAAAATATAGGGCCAATGTGAAAGCACTGAGGTGAGCCTTTGGAGTGAGGTGTAACTGAATGAGAAAGCCCTTATACAGCATGAGTGAAGCCCTAGATTTGATCCCTAGTACTGGAAAAAAATAAAATTAAAAGAAGGAAAGTCTTTTGAGAGCCGATTAGACTATAATGTGGCTTCACTACTATGAATAGGATCAAAGCTCTTATAAAAGAGACTTCATTCAGCATCCAGATTTTTTGCTCTTTGTCCATGTGAGGATATGGTACCTCTCCCCGCCAGAGAAAACTGTAGCCAGACAACACCCCAGAAGCAGAAAGTAGACAGAGAAATCTGTCTAAACCATGACCTTGACCTTCCTAGCCTCCAGAACTGTCAAAAACAAACTCCTGTTCTTCATAAATTACTCAGTCTGTAGTGTTTGGTTGTAGAGGTACAAACAGATGAAGACATCCCCTCAGAAACACATGTTGAGATCTGTGTTCGTAAGGGTTCTCTAGAGGAACAGAGCCAAGATTAACCAGCACAAGGTCTCTTACTCTCAGAACCTTGAAATACATCTTTATTTCAAAATAGGATTATTTCAGATATAACTAAGATGAAGTCACGCTGAAGTGTGATGTAACCTAAATCCAACACTATCAGCTTCTTTATGAGAGATGAGACAGACAGATAGACAGGCAGGAACAGCCATGTGACAATGGGACACGGACTGGAATGCTACAGCTGCAAGCCAGGGAGTGCTGAGCAAAGCTCACTCCCCTGGAAGCTGCTAGGAAAGACCCTTCCCAGCTGGCTTCTGGAGGAACTTGGCCCTGCTGACACCTAGATCCCACACTTTCAGCCTCCACAACTGTGACAGGGAGCAAGTATCTGTTGCTTTAAGCTGTGCAGCTTGTACATGGACCCTTACAAGAAGTTCTACATGAGAACAATAAACTATGAAAATGGCTGCAAAGAGAAGTGGGGGGCTCAGGGGGTGGGGGTGTCCTAGGACCTAGAGGTAAATCTCACTAACATAGGAGGCAAATGAAAGAGGGTTGTGAACTAAGAGGAAACAACATCAACGTAAGTTAATACTCTAAAACTTTAAAATCCTTTAAGTCCTTAAAATTCGAACCCATCATTTCACAAAGCTACAATTTGATAATAATATTCTACTGTTAGTCACTTCTAATCATTGAAACAGAATGCCTGAGCAAACAAGGGTACTGTGCATAGCTAGCTGGTTCCAATGCTGTGACAAAATACTCTAATACCAGCTTGGAGAGGAAAGGGTTTTATCTGCCTTACAAGCACAGTCCATCACCAAGGGAAGCCAAGACAGGAGGAACTCCAAGCAGCAACCTAGAGCACAGGGCATGGAGGAGTGCTTCTTATAGGCTTGCTCCCCTGGTCTGTACTTAGCCTACGTATACAAAACAGGACAACCTGCCCAGGGGAAGTATCACCCACAGTGGGCTGACTCCCCCACATCACTCAAAAAATCATCTGGTCACAGGCCAGTCCAATGGAGGCAATTCTCTAATTGAGGGTCCCTCAA